GTTTTCACCGGACACAAACGTGACTGTGATTGGTTCGGGAGAAGACCTGAGTCCGAAACTCCGTAAGTCTATACTGGTGCTATGTTGAATCTGTATGTGAGTTGCTGTGTGTTGGTGGGAATGGTGCCAGAGTATGATAAGCTGGTGGTGTTTTCTTTGGAAACAAACGTGACGGTGATTGGTTCGGGCGAAGGCCTGAGTCCGAAGCTGCTTAAGTTTGTGCTGCTGCGATTCTGAATCTGCACTTGACTTGCTGTGTGCTTGTGGGGACTGTGCATGGTCATGAGCTGGTGTGTTCTGTTCTGTTTCACTTCCCCGTATGCACTCTTGCTGTTGCCTATCACTTGGTCTGAAATCTCTCATCTCAAACTCAACCTTTCTCTGCGTTTACGCTGTCCTGGCCTTTCTCTGTATGTTGGAATTTGTGGTTGCAGAGCGCCCTCAATGGAACGCTGCTGCTCACAGTCCTCATGGCCCCGTGGCTTTCACGCTCATGTACTGTCTTGTCCTTGCTTTTATTGTGTCGCTTAGTGCATTCTGATTTGACATTGGTGGCGTCTCGTTTATTCACAGACTGCGCTACTAGTGGGATTTAGGAATAGTAAATATGTCCATAGAACGTGGTTTGCTTTGTGCTGCTAGGTACTTCACAGGCTTGCTTCTACACGTGGTGTAACACTTGACTATTAGGAAAAAACTGCGTTTTGTTTTTAAGTAGGGTTGATGTCGGTGAGTAGAATTATATCAGTATGATGTGGAGAAGCTAGTAAATTAGATCATAAAATGAACTCTCATGACACGGGTCTTACTTCCCATGACATATCGTTGTATATTAGGTAAACTGTTTCGTTACATACCATCCCCGAATTGTCTGACGTGTTGCGCGAGTGATCAAACATGACACGGAACTGACACTCTCCAGACTCGTCCACCACAACAAGCCAGTTTGCCAGGTTACCGTTCCCGGGTCATTGGTGGGACATTTTTGGGCCAACAACGATTGGTCACGAAGGGGTGGAAAGTTTTTCCGTTGCACTTTCGCCACAATTGCCACGTCAGGGTCCCATTGTCCATCCAGCTTTGGCAGTAGGTGACCGTTCAAATACGCCTCCTCACTTCGTGGCCCTGGAGAAATGGAAACCTAGTTGATGTCACACGGCCTCGCGCACGCACACCCACACAAATCTAGGAAACATGCGGCTCGCCTGGAAGGGGACGCAAATCTAGATTGTGCTGGGTGTTGCCACTGCTTGTGAGTGGATGGAGGAGAGCGTGCCTCCAAGCCGAGTGGATAACGGTGTGTCAGCACCAGGTCAGCCTTACCATAGTGAAGCTAATTCTAGCGGATCAAAAGGCACGGAGACGTGGCAGCTGGATGCCTTTTCGCCGGCTTTGGATATCAGCCAGCCGCACCATAATCCATGGCTCTGACCAGACGAATTGATGCGACGATGATGACGCCGAGTCGCCCGGTCATCCCTATCCAAGCGCTAGGATCCTTCGTCCTAGTCTTCCAGCAGAATCAACGAACGACCCTCTTAGGATCATGTCAGCACAATACTGTACAGTTCACTGTATACACTGCACTTGCGCTCAGATGACAAGGAAAATGCCTGACAGTAATTGTCTGGTCAGCATTTACGATTTCTTTCTGACCAGAGAAGCAGCGAGCTTTTGTTTCGTCTGCTTTCATGGATGCTGGATGCAGAAGCAGTTCTGAACTTCTGATTCCCTTCGCTTGCCTGATCAACAGCCATGGCGTGTAGACGCGTCAACTTGTCTCAAAAGTATGCTTTATTTTGCGGATAGAAGATTCGGTTTAGAAGCAGGTGATTTTTTTCTGGTCATCATGGCTGATCCTCCTTGCCTTGCTTGTCAGCCTGATCCTGATTGCGGTCGAGCGTCAGCCATGCGATTCCCGGCTCTTCTGCAGCCTCTGCTGCCTTCCCTCGGGGCTCGGTTTCGTCAGCCATTGTGCCTACACAGTCACGACGCGTCACGGTGACGTGTCACGCACTGCAGAGCCTGCAAGGACCGACGTGTAGTGCTGCGTAGCTCCTCCTTGAAGCTATGGATGCTAACTAGGAGTTATTAGAAATTATAGTGGTATATTCCAACAGCTCCTGGACCAGAGAGATTCTGCGTAGGCGGTTCTGAGTCCTGAAGGGACACACGGCTAGCTCGATCACTGCCATTCCGCTCTGCTGGTAGGCTCGTCCACTACTATGACGTCTATCCGAGCAACAGCTTTAGCCTCGGGCTATTTCTCCGAGCCTTCTCGGCTCAAACCTGGTTCTTGCATCCCCGAACCGGCAAGAAACGCAGTGCAGCGCACTACCGCATTCCACGTGGCAATTCCACGTCGGATCGCCTATCAGTCGGCTACTGGTAGTAACAAGGTTCGCAACTCATCCGGTCTACAGCTGGCAGCTGCTGATTGGTTACTACGGGACTGCGCGGATTGTCTTATACTGAGACAGTCGCGTGGCGATTTGGACGGCACGGCGGTCCCACTAGCGGTGGCAGGAGCAGCAGAATCAGACCGAGTTGCTCGTGTGGGAGATAAAGATGCTGGCTCTAGATTTTCAGGCCTCCCTGGTCGTGGCGTGATTCGCGCCGCGGACTCGTCATCATTCCGCAGGTACTGAGAGAGAGAGAGAGAGCGCTGACTTTGATTTGTTGATCGTTTGATCCCTGATTGATTTTCAGCAGTGCATATATTTCCCTCCAAATTCCTTGCGTTAACAATGCACGAAGCTTCTGGTATGATTCCTGATGCTCGGACTGACGTACCTGCCACGTGGGCGTTATCTCAGGTCCCAGCGGCCGTGGCGCGCAAGGCCACGTCACCATCGGAACCGCGTTTCTCGGCAGTGCATTCCCAGCTCAAGAGATAGCCCACCGCGCAGAGGTGAGTGTGCAATGTGATGCGGCAAAGTTGCTAGCTGACGTCGCCGTACATGGCGTTGCCACGTCAGCATGAGAGCAGGAGTAAAGGGTATGTATGGACCAACATATGAACCGTGTCCCAGGAGTTGTCATGCGGATAAGGCAGTTTTCCCCCTCACGATGATCAATCAAACGGACGGCTGTGATACCAACTCAGTTCTGGAGTCCTGTGCAATTCTATTCATCTGGTGTGCAGAATGCCGGTGCTTGGTCCTCATACCCACATCTCCCCCCCCCCCCACACCATCCACAAGTCTTTCCTCTCGTGCTCATGCCCCCCCTTCATCCCATGCCATCCCTTTTTCCCTCTCCCCTCTTTCCCCTCCCTACCTTTCCCTCCTTTTCAGACACGGGCATAGCGAGCGAGGAGGAGTGGAACAAGGTGACTTTCGAGTCAACTCAAAAGCATGTCCCTTACAACCCTTTGCCCTTCCCTCCCCTCGCCCCTCTTTCCCCTCCCCAACTTCCCCCCTCTCAAGACACGGGCATAGCGAGCGAGGAGGAGTGGAACATCAGCCTACAGAACACGCCTCTTAATGAGTCGGGCCTTAACGAGGATGGAAGCTCGTGGTACCGCGAGAGCGGGGAGGACGTGGGCGAGAACGGGTACCGGTGCCGGTGGAGCATCATGGGCGGGAGGAGCTCGGATGGATCTGTGCAATGGAAGGAAACGGTGAGTGGGGAGGGGGGGGGGTGGGTTGTTGGAACTGGGGGGTTGGACGGGGTTGGGGTGTATGGAAGGGTTGGGAAGGGGAGCTAAGAGGACGGGTACCACTGCAGGTGGAGCATCATGGGGGGGAGGAGTTCGGACGGATCCGTGCAATGGAAGGAAACGGTGAGTGGGGGGGCGATGAGGGGGAGGCAGGGGAAACGGGAAGATGGAGGGAGATAAGGGGAGGACGTGGGCGAGAACGGGTACCGGTGCCGGTGGAGCATCATGGGGGGGAGGAGTTCGGACGGATCCGTGCAGTGGAAGGAAAAGGTGAGTAAGCTGAAGGAAGTGAACAGGTTGCTCTTTCTCTGTCGTTTTCTGTTGTTGTGTTGTTTCGCCCGTGGTCAATAATGCACGAGCGGTTGTTGCATGACAGGCTGTGATTCAAGGAAGGTGTTTGTTCAGGCGCCTCAGAAAAGGGAGTGTGAATGATGAGACGTCTCAACAGGGGGCCTGCATGTGCCTTTTGAATCATGGGCCTTTGCTTGGTCCTGCCTTCCCTTCATCTTTCCATTCCCTTCTTCCCTTCCTTGTTGCGCTCTTGTGTGGTGTTGCCTTGCCATGGGCATAACATGGCAGTGGTGGGAGAAGAGCGATTGGACAGGATACAAAGAGCTAGGTACGCATGTCCATCACATCACAGCATACCCATCACATCACAGCATACCCATCACATCACAGCATACCCATCACATCACAGCATACCCATCACATCACAGCATGTCCATCACATCACAGCATGTCCATCACATCACAGCATACCCATCACATCACAGCATACCCATCACATCACAGCATACCCATCACATCACAGCATACTCATCACATCACAGCATATCCTCGTGACAGGATAAAAGGAGCTAGGTACGCATACCCATCACATCACAGCATATCCATCACATCACAGCATATCCTCGTGACAGGATATAAGGAGCTAGGTACGCATACCCATCACATCACAGCATATCCTCGTGACAGGATATAAGGAGCTAGGTACGCATACCCATCACATCACAGCATGTCCATCACATCACAGCATATCCTCGTGACAGGATATAAGGAGCTAGGTACGCATACCCATCACATCACAGCATGTCCATCACATCACAGCATATCCTGCCCCACCACAAGCAATGTGAGGCGAGGCATGAGTGAGAGAAGGCCGCCGCGAGAGTCGCGACGAGGCATAAGGGAAGGGGCATGAAAGAAGAGACGTGAGGGAAGAGGTGTAGTAAGAGGTATTGACTTCTTTATTTGCAACCACACAAGGAGGGATCACATCAGTGTATACATGAGTGGAAAGGATACCATACCTGATCCTCCTTCCCTCCCTTCCCCCTTAGGAGAGATTCTCGAAATCGTATCCCCTTTCCCTCGTCGTTCCCTCCCTCCCCCTTCCCTTCCCCTTCCTTTCCCCTTCCCTTCCCCCTCCCTTCCCCAATTCCCCCTTCAGGCGCGGAGAAGAGTGGGCGGAACGCTGTGGGCGCGAGCTGGTGGGAGACGTGGCAGGAGGTGTTGAGGCGGGATGAATGGAGGTGAGTGAGGGTGTGAGGGTTGGAGTGAGTGAGAGTGTGGGGGAATGCCAGGCCCTAGAGATGGTGGGAGACGTGGCAGGAGGTGTTGAGGAGGGACGAGTGAGGTGAGAAAGAGAGAACGGGGGGGGGTGAGGGACTGCCAGGGAACGAGGGACTAGAGAGCTGGTGGGAGAAGTGGCAGGAGGTGTTGAGAAGGGACGAGTGGAGGTGAGAAAGAGAGAACGGGGAGGGGGGGTGAGGGACTGCCAGGGAACGAGGGACTAGAGAGCTGGTGGGAGAAGTGGCAGGAGGTGTTGAGAAGGGACGAGTGGAGGTGAGAAAGAGAGAACGGGGAGGGGGGGTGAGGGACTGCCAGGGAACGAGGGACTAGAGCTGGTGGGAGAAGTGGCAGGAGGTGTTGAGAAGGGACGAGTGGAGGTGAGAAAGAGAGAACGGGGAGGGGGGGTGAGGGACTGCCAGGGAACGAGGGACTAGAGAGCTGGTGGGAGAAGTGGCAGGAGGTGTTGAGAAGGGACGAGTGGAGGTGAGAAAGAGAGAACGGGGAGGGGGGGTGAGGGACTGCCAGGGAACGAGGGACTAGAGCTGGTGGGAGAAGTGGAAGGAGGTGTTGAGAAGGGACGAGTGGAGGTTAGTGAGAGGATGTGAGGGGGGAAGAAGTGAGGGATTGAGGGATTGAAGGGGGAAGGGAAGGAGGGAATGAGGGAATGAGGGAATGAGGGAATGAGGGAATGAGGGAATGAGGGAATGAGGGAATGAGGGAATGAGGGAGTGTTATGGACTATAGCGAATGGGAGACGTGGCAGGAGGTGCTGAGAAGGGACGAGTGGAGGTAAGGAGGAGGGGGGTGAGCAGCATCGCTCGCATGGAGTGCAGTGCACACAAGCAGAACATGTCCTGTGTGTGCGCCTCCCTCATATGCAGCGGCATTTCTCGCATAGAGCGAAGTGCGCACAAGCAGGCCAAGTGTTGTTCGCCTCAGACTGAATCTGTCTTCTGAAAATTAAAAAAAACACAGATTCAACTCTCTCATAGTGCGCAGCGCGCACAAGCAGGCCAAGTGTTGTGTGCGCGCCTCAGACCCTCCCCCACCTTCTCGCCTTTCTATCCCCCCACCCCCCTCTTTGCAGTGGCATCGCTCGCATCGAGCTCAGTGCACATTAGCAGCCCAAGTCGTGAGTGGGTGGGTGCTTCTCTTACACTCGCCTCACTCCCGTCTCTGCCTCCCCTTCCCCACACCCTCCCCCCCACCTCCCCCTTTTCAGTGGCATCGCTCGCATAGAGCGCAGTGCACACAAGCAGGCCAAGTCGCGAACCGATGCCTGGACGGAGAAATGGTATGTGTGTGAGGGTGCTTGTGTATGGGTGCTTATATAGGGGTGTGACTGGGAAGATGAGATGATGGGGAGTGCACATGAGCAGGCTAAATCGCGAACTGATGCCTGGACGGAGAAATGGTGCGTATGTAAGGGTGCTTATATAGGGGTGTGATTGGGGAGTTGATGGGGAGTGCGTACACGCAGGCCAAGTACCACATAAGTACAAACTCTCTTTGAGTCGTCCCAGAATGTATTCTTTTTGTGGGACGTCTCAGAGCAGTTGAGAGAGTGTGGTGAGAATGCAAAGTGATGTGAGAGTGTGTGAGATTGCGATAGGATTGCAGTGAGAATGTGGTGGAGTGCGTTGAGAGTGGCGGAGTGCTGTTAAAGTATGGTGGAGTGCGGTGGAGTGCGATGACAGTGCGGTGAGAGTTCGATGGAGTGCAGTGAAGTGTGGTGCAAGTGTGGTGAGAGTGTGGTGCGAGTGTGGTGCGAGTGGGCACAAGCAGAGCCAATTCCCAAACAGATGCATGGGCCGAGATATGGTGAGTTGTGGCTTATGGTAAGGGGTATTTTTCAGACATCTCAACAAATTACTGAAACGTCTCAAAACTTCCAAACAGACGTCCGAAGTGTTTTGACACGCATCTTGTTTTGAGACGTCTCAAAACTAGACGTCCGAAGTGTTTAGACATGCATCTTGCCCACTAGCTGGAGGCTTTGGCCAGTTTAGATGTTTTCCCTTCTTTACCTCCCCCATCCCTCCCCCTTCCTCCCCCGCATCTACTGTCCCCGTCTCCTCCGCAGGTGGGAGAAGTACAACGAGTGGGGGTAGACGGAGAAGGGGGGGTGCACCTAAAGCCTTCCTCTGTTCCCCCTCATCTATGGCCCCTTCGATCTTTCCCTTTCCATTCTCTCCCCCCTATCGCAGGTGGGAGAAGTACAACGAGCGTGGGTGGACGGAGAAGGGGGGGTGCACCCTAAACCCCACACCCTAAACCCCACACCCTAAACCCCACACCCGAAACCCCTGCTCTCTTGGCCCTTCCCTCTTCCACCTCCTCACCCACCCCCTATCGCAGGTGGGAGAAGTACAACGAGTGGGGGTGGACGGAGAAGGGGGGGTGCACCTAAAGCCTTCCTCTGTTCCCCCTCATCTATGGCTCCTTCGTTCTTTCCCTTTCCATTCTCTCCCCCCTATCGCAGGTGGGAGAAGTACAACGAGCGTGGGTGGACGGAAAAAGGCGCGTATAAGTTTGGGCGGCACGAGGGGCAGTCGTGGTGGGAGAAGTGGGGCGAGCAATACGACGGGCGAGGAGCAGTGCTTAAATGGTAGGTGGCTCATACGGTAAATGGGGTCTGTATATTGGGGGATTAGTGCGTAGAGGCACGAGGGGCAGCAGTGGTGGGAGAATTGGGGCGAGCAGTATGACGGGAGGGGAGCAGTCCTCAAGTGTGGTGGCTCGTATTGTATATGGGGTATGCATGCACGCATGTTGGGATGGGAGGGCAGCAGCATGAGGGGCAGTCGTGGTGGGAGAGGTGGGGCGAGCAGTACGACGGGCGGGGAGCAGTACTCAAGTGGTGAGATGCTTGTATGGTATGGGTGCCTTCTGTGTTTTTTTTTTGTATTAGTATCATTATTATTATTCTTTGCTGATATACATGTGGTTAATATCTCTATATAAATATGGCTTGGCATGGCATGGCATAATGGCAGGACGGACAAGTGGGCGGAGCAGGACGACGACGGCAGCAAGTGGGGCGACAAATGGGAGGAGCGATTCACCAATGGGGTGGGCAGGAGACAAGGGGAAACGTGGCACCTGTCGCCCTCTTCCTCCCGTGAGTCAACTCTCACTTTCTCATAAGCCCCCCTCTCCCCCATAAGTGGGCGGAGCAGGACGATGATGGCAGCAAGTGGGGCGACAAGTGGGAGGAGCGATTCACCAATGGGGTGGGGAGGAGACAAGGGGAAACGTGGCACCTGTCGCCCTCTTCCTCCCGTGAGTTGACTCCTCTCTCTGCGGCTGGTAATAAGTATCTTGCTGCCTCGCTTCCTGTGCGTGCTGCATGTGAGAAGAAAGTGGGGCGATACTGGGAGGAACGTTTTTCGCCCACCTATCCCCATCCCCATCCCCATCCCCATCCCCATCCCCATCTCGATCCACACTCACACTCCACCTCCCCTCGTGCGCCTCCCTCCCACCAGGGTGGTCGAGAACGTGGGGAGAGGAGCACTACAGGGTAGGGATGTGTAAGAGAAGCACCAAGTATAAACTATCCTCATGCGTGCCCTACCTGCCCCTTCTACGCTTCCTTGTTTATCTCCGTCCTACCAGGCTGGTCGAGAACGTGGGGAGAGGAGCACTACGGTGACGGGTAAGTGTTTCGCTTAAGGGTGGTACCACTTTGCTAAAACCACAAAAATAATTTGCACAGGGCATCTTTCACTTACGGCGGGTATTTTCCCCTGACTTTTTTATGCTGACCGGCGAGTATCTTTCACTTACAAAAGGCGAGTATTTACAAGCCTTTTGAACGAATCTCACGATAATAAACTTCTTGGTCTTCAAGAGCCCCATTTGTGACTTAAAGGAGTTGTGTCGGGCCCTTCGCCTCTCTCTTTCCTCGCATCTCTCTCATCTCCCTTCATCTTAGTCCCTCTCCCCCTCGCAATTTGATGGTATGGCAACAAGGAGCACACCAAACTGACGAGGGTGCGACTCTACCTCACCTCTCCTCCCCTCTCCTTGCAACCTTTCTCTCTTCCCCATACCAGCAAGGTGCACAAGTATGGGAGGAGCACGAGTGGGGAGGTGTGGGACGTGGTGGTGGAAGAACCTACATATTACGAGTGAGTGGTGAAAGGGACAGGGTAGAGACATGTGTGTCGGGAGGGAGTTATGTGCTATGAGTGAGTGGTGAAAGGGGCAAGATAGATACATGTGTGTCGGGAGGGAGGCATGTGCTATGAGTGAGTGGCTCTTGGTGCGAGAGCACGAGCGGGGAGGTGTGGGACGTGGTGGTGGAAGAACCTACATATTACGAGTGAGTGAGTGAAATTCTTTTGAGTCGATAGGACAGGGTAGATAGAGACTTGTGTGGGGAGTTCGCATTTCAGAAGGCGTGGCATACGTAGTATGAGTAAGTGGAATCGTATGAGAGGATGGGACAGGATAGAGAGACTTGTGTGGGGGGGGCTCGTCTCACAAGGCGTACTGGTGGAACACTGGTCGCACCACTGGTTGGTGTGCACCACTGGTTGGTGTGCACCACTGGTTGGTGTGCACCACTGGTTGGTGTGCACCACTGGTTGGTGTGCACCACTGGTTGGTGTGCACCACTGATCTGCATTATGAGTGTGCACCACTGGTTGGTGTGCACCACTGGTTGGTGTGCACCACTGGTTGGTGTGCACCACTGGTTGGTGTGCACCACTGGTTGGTGTGCACCACTGGTTGGTGTGCACCACTGGTTGGTGTGCACCACTGGTTGGTGTGCACCACTGGTTGGTGTGCACCACTGGTTGGTGTGCACCACTGGTTGGTGTGCACCACTGGTTGGTGTGCACCACTGGTTGGTGTGCACCACTGGTTGGTGTGCACCACTGGTTGGTGTGCACCACTGGTTGGTGTGCACCACTGGTTGGTGTGCACCACTGGTTGGTGTGCACCACTGGTTGGTGTGCACCACTGGTTGGTGTGCACCACTGGTTGGTGTGCACCACTGGTTGGTGTGCACCACTGGTTGGTGTGCACCACTGGTTGGTGTGCACCACTGGTTGGTGTGCACCACTGGTTGGTGTGCACCACTGGTTGGTGTGCACCACTGGTTGGTGTGCACCACTGGTTGGTGTGCACCACTGGTTGGTGTGCACCACTGGTTGGTGTGCACCACTGGTTGGTGTGCACCACTGGTTGGTGTGCACCACTGGTTGGTGTGCACCACTGGTTGGTGTGCACCACTGGTTGGTGTGCACCACTGGTTGGTGTGCACCACTGGTTGGTGTGCACCACTGGTTGGTGTGCACCACTGGTTGGTGTGCACCACTGGTTGGTGTGCACCACTGGTTGGTGTGCACCACTGGTTGGTGTGCACCACTGGTTGGTGTGCACCACTGGTTGGTGTGCACCACTGGTTGGTGTGCACCACTGGTTGGTGTGCACCACTGGTTGGTGTGCACCACTGGTTGGTGTGCACCACTGGTTGGTGTGCACCACTGGTTGGTGTGCACCACTGGTTGGTGTGCACCACTGGTTGGTGTGCACCACTGGTTGGTGTGCACCACTGGTTGGTGTGCACCACTGGTTGGTGTGCACCACTGGTTGGTGTGCACCACTGGTTGGTGTGCACCACTGATCTGCATTATGAGTGTGCTCCTTTGCTCGCACCACTGGTTGTGCTCCTTGCTGCCATACGTCTCAACTAGGAGGTACGTGAATGTCATTCCCTGCACGTAAATGTCAGTGTGTCACATCTTCTTGTCACCTCTGCCTTGTACCTTTGTGTATAACCCCCAGGGGCACGCCTCACTACGGCTGGGCAGAGGCAACTGCCAACTCGCTGCAGCTGCTGGCGATAGAGCCTATGGAGAGGGGTGGGGAGGTGTGAGGGGGGGTGGAGTGAGGGGAGGGGAAGGGCAGGGGAAAGCAGCATGCCCACTGTGGGTGGGCAGAGGCAACTGCCAACTCACTGCAGCTGCTGGCGATCGAGCCTATGGAGAGAGGAGGGGAGGCGTGAGGGGGAGAGGTGGAGAGGCGTGAGGAGCAGAGGAGGAGAGTTGGGAAGAGGAGAAACGGGGGGGAACGGCGGAAAAGCATACATCCCATGAAGGCTGGGCAGAAGCAGCTGCGAACTCGCTGCAGCTGCTGGCGATCGAGCCTATGGAGAGAGGAGGGGAGGAGTGAGGGGGAGAAGAGAGGAACAGTGGAGAGCGGAGGGGAACAACAGAGAGGGACTCGCCCCCACTTGCTTACTCGCTGCAGCTGTGGCGAACGAACCTATGGAGAGAGGAGGAGAGGCGTGAGGGGAAGGGGAGGAGCAGCGTGAGAGGGAGAGGAGTGAGGCGGAGGGAAGGGGAATGGCGTAAGCGACGCACCTTATTAGTACGGCTGGGCAGAGGCAACTGCCAACTCGCTGCAGCTGCAAGAGAAGAAGGGTGGAGAGAGGAGGGGTGGAGGGAGGAGGGAAATGCAAGAGAACAGGGAATATTTTTCTCTCCCGTGTAGTGCTGCCAGTGGGAATGGATAGGTGCGCCTCTGCTGCTGCTGTTGGCGATATAAGGCATGAAAAGAGGAGAAGAGGTATGAGAGAGATGGGAGAGGAAAGGTAGAGGGCAGAGGGAGGGGGCAAATGCCAGGGGGCATAACCGTAAGTTTTGGCTCCCTCCCTTGTAGCGCTCCCTAGTGGGACTAGATTGGTGTTCTGCAGCTGTTGCTGCTGATAGCGGATTCGATTCCCTGCGTTTTATTGCTCCCTGTGGGACTAGATCGGTGCACCTCTGCTGCTGTTGGCGATAGAGGCCATGGAACGAGGAGGAGATGCGGAACAAAGAGGGGAAGGGAAAGAGAGAGAAGGAGGAGGAGAATGTTGGAGAGAGAGGCGAAATGTTGGAGAGGGGCGAAATGTTGGAGAAAGAGAAGTGCTGGAGAGAGGGAAGGAAACGAGGGCTTGATGAGGGAAAACACAGTGGGCAGAAACCCAGTCTTGCTCCCTCCGATTGCTCAGACGGATTAGATTGGTGGCCTGCTGCAGCTGCTGCTGATAATAGGCTTCCACGTCAAGAAAAGAGGGAGTGAGGAACTGTGGAAGAAAAAGGGAGGTGAAATAAGAGGGCTATGTGACGGAAGGGAAAATCCACGGTAAGAGCAACGAGGTGCGAGGGGGTGGATGGAAAAGGTATGGAGACTTCATTTCATACTGGAAATTGGAGAGTATCTGAAGCCTGACAAGTCAACGGGGTCAAGAGAGTCAACGAGGCCTCCTCTCTTGATGCAGTCAGCCTCCGTTTGAACAAGTCTCTCCTTTCCTCTTCCTCCAGCCCAGTTGCCTTCAGTGGGATTTAATTAGAGGCCTTCGCTGCTTGGTGTATGAGGGACCCAATGTTATTTTCATTTGAATGCCTTTTTTGTTCCTTGTTTTGCAAGTTTGAATGTAACCATCAGTTGATACGTGAGTGCTTCAATGCGTTGTGCTTGTCTTAAATACTTATCATCACCATCCCTTGTTGAAAATTGATATTTTGCATCCTCAAACATATGAAATTGGGCTGGAATTGGAAACTGAACATAAACACAATGTACCGGTAGTGGACTCACTGCAAGTGTTTCATTATGCACCATTTTCCTCCAAAACAGTTTAATTCCTTTGCACGATCTAAGCATATTACCTAGGTCATCTATGGTGCATGGTTACTACGTAAGATGTTTACTCCCTGCAACATTAGTCTGATACTGGACAGCTGTAATAGTGGTAATGGTGCCACAATATAGCACCATGCTGGGGCTGCACATGGCTTTGCATCATTCATCTCATGGCAATCAGCAGAGACTGGTAATGTATGGATGATTGTCAAATATATAATATGTGGTATAGGCTGTAGTGAGGTGCCTTCTAGGGGGTACAACTTTTAGGTTTGCATATTTGTACCCCATCCTGTTTCTAGTTCATCATTCCGTTGTGTTCCTACTTTGAGATGGTATCAGTTAGGTGTTAAACTTATGTTTTATATATAAACTGTTTGCTGTAGTTACTATAGTGTTTGTGGTACCTCCTTTGTTTCCTATTTGTACCTTCGCTCCATATTGAATCTCCCTCTTTGGCCAATTCTCCCTCTCGATACCATCGCCACGATTCTCCTTGCTAAGCCTCCTAAACCTAATCTCCTTAGTTACTTTAACATGGTATCAGAGCTGGGTCCTTCTAAGGACCGTTCTTTTTATTATTCATGGGCCCACCGTACTCCTCGTCCCCAGTCGCGCTACACGTCGCATCGCTGACCGTCACGGCGGCGAGCTGCGCAATGGCGACGGCCGCGACGGACTCAATGGCAAATGTCGGCGGCCCGTCGTCTGCCTCGACGTGCTGCCAGTCGTCCGTCCAGTCGACCTCCGCTGCTGCAGCAATGTCTGCAGTCGCGCCCGCAGCTGCAGCAGCGTGTTACACGCCGTTAGCAGCAGCAGCGCGCCGTGCGCCAGCGCCACACGCCAGCGCGAACAGCAACAGCAGCAACGCGCGCCGCCTGCCCGCGCCATCGACCTACGCCTGCGCGTGCGCCAGCGGCGGCCGCCAGCGCCCAGCTCCAGCACGGACGCCAGCGCCAGCAGCAGCGCACGCTGCGCCCCCCCCCCCCCCACCCCTCCCCTCCCTTCCGCGGCTTCCACCGTAGGGGGGGGAAAGATGAGGGAGTGGCGGGGGTGACCAGCAACTCGTCACACGCTGCTTCTCCTCCTCTCTCTCACACACTCCAGCGCGTGCTGCTGTGGGGGGGAGGGTGAGGGGGTGGCGGGAGACAGCCGGCAGCACCAATGGCTGCGTCCATCCCCTTCTCCAGCCGCCTCTCCTCTCCTCTCCTCTCCTCTCCTCTCCTCTCCTCTCCTCTCCTCTCCTCTCCTCTCCTCTCCTCTCCTCTCCTCCAGTCCTTCCTCTTCTCCGTTTTCCAGCCGCCTCCTCCTCCGTTTGTATGCTCCTCCAGTGTCTCCGCCGTTGTGGGGAGGAGGTTTGGGGGAGGAGAGGTTGGAGAGGTTGGAGGGGGGTTGCCGTCGTGAAGCCTGCAGCTCCAGTCGCCAGTGTGCCTGTTGCTCCAGTCGCCCGTCGGGTCCGTTGCTCTAGCCATACGAGCGGGATGCTCGAGGCGTACGAGCCAGTCACCCCAGTGCCCGCGAGTCAGTGCTCCAGTAGCCCGTGGGCTAGCAGCTTCAGCCGTCGCCCACCTCCTCCTCTCCTCTCTCTCTCTCCTCATCCTCGCTTGCCCTCTTCTTCTGTTGCGCCTTGGTGTACCCCTTCAGGTCCTTGCACAGGTTCCTGCAGCAAACTGTTTAGGGGGTGTGTTAAACTTATGTTTTATATATAAACTGTTTGCTGTAGTTACTGTAGTGTTTGTGGTATTTCCTGTAGGTGGTGTACCTCCTTTGTTTCCTATTTGTACCTTCGCTCCATATTGAATCTCCCTCTTTGGCCAATTCTCCCTCTCGATACCATCGCCATGATTCTCCTTGCTAAGCCTCCTAAACCTAATCTCCTTAGTTACTTTAACATTAGGTTCGTTTCCTAGCCTAGCCTAGCCCGTGTTCGCGCCCTCCGCGCCCTAGCACTCTCCGCGCCCTCCGCGCTCTCCGTGCCCTCCGCGCCCTCCACGCCCTCCGCGCCCTCCGTGCCCTAGATCCCTCCACGCCCTCCGCGCTCTTGCGTCCTCCGCGCCCTCAGCGCCCTAGCGCCTTCCGCGCCCTCCGCGCCTAGCCTGCTCCTTCGCCAGCGCCCGAGCCCTAGCCCGTCGCCCCAGCCCGCGCCCTAGCCCATCGCCCCAGCCCGCGCCCTAGCCCGTCGCCCCAGCCCTCGCCCTAGCCCGACGCCCCACCCCGCGCCCTAGCCCGACGCCCCAGCCCGCGCCCTAGCCCGTCGCCCCAGCCCGCGCCCTAGCCCGTCGCCCCAGCCCGCGCCCCAGCCCGTCACCCCAGCCCGCGCCCCAGCCCGTCACCCCAGCCCGCGCCCCAGCCCGTCGCCCCAGCCCGCGACCTAACCCGTCGCCCTCGCCCGCGACCTAACCCGCGCCCTCGCCCTAGCCCCAGCCCACGCCCTAGGCCGCGCCCTGCCCTAAGCCGCGCCCTCGCCCTAGGCCGCGACCTCGCCCTCAGCAGCGCCCTAGCCCTAGGCCGCGCCCTGCCCTGAGCCGCGCTCTGCCCTAGGCCGCGCCCTAGCCCTAGGCCGCACCCTGCCCTACCCGCGCCCTCGCCCTTAGCCCGCGCCCCTGCTCTAACCCTAACCCTAGCCCGAGTTGATCGCGTGCCCTCACCCTCGCTACCCGAGTGCGCCCCACTCTGCCCAACCGTTGGCCCCTCTTCTTAACCTGTTCCCTGGCCCCACACCATTCCTACTGCGGTTGGCTTCCGTTTCAGTGGCTGGCAGCCGCTCTTCCCACCGGTAGCGCGACCTAGGACCGGTTAGATCCCCACTCCTAGACTAGTTTCCTCCGACTGTCTCTAGTCTATGTCCAGCTGGCGTCTCTAGTCTCCCTTCTCGCTCCTAGCACCGCCCGCTCCGTGCTCCAGCCGCCTCTAGCCTAGCCTCCAATATGGACTCCCGCCGCCTTCGTTTCGATGCGGAGGGACGCCCGATAGAGTTCGGCACCTGGGTCCGCCATACTCAGCGCTACCTCACCAGTCAGCGCCAGGACGACGCCACCCTGTACGCCCACGCGTCCGGCGCTCTCCAGGCACCCCCACGTCCCGAGCCCCTCCCTGCCGTGCCCCCACCGACTCCGGAGGCGCAGGCGGACGACGCTCGTCTCGTCTTGGCGCGGGACGTTTGGGACTCCCGTGACGCTGCGGCTGCACTCGCGCTGACCGAGCTCCTTCCACCGACTGAGGCCGCTCACTTCGACCTGGTAGAGACTGCAAAGGAGGTGTATGATGCTATTTCTGCATGCTATTCCACCCCTTCATCTGCCTCCCTCAGCCGCATCCTCATGCCGTTCGTGTTTCCCGACCTCGGCTCCTTTGCGACTGTCTCCGACCTAGCCACACACTTGCGCTCCCTTGTCGCTAGCTACCGAGCAGCTTGCACTGAGGCTCAGCTTCTTGTTGCCCCTCCTCCTATCTGGCTCACCGCCCAC